AAGCAGTTGTCTAAGATCTACAACTGATGAATTTACTCACTTAGTTAGTCGATAACAAAAAGGGTGAAAAGTTGAAAGTTAACCGGTAGGGCTTTTCTCATACAACACTGATGTCAAATACAGATTGATGTACAATACAAAATCCAACGATCTATTAAAGTTAGCTCCCCATGTAAAAATAAATAGACACTTAACGAAGAGAGCGTTGAAAATAACGCCAAAACTTGTGTTAAGAGACAAATTAATGAAGTTTAACGAAGAAAGCTTCATCAATTTTCGTTAAGTGAGGGAAATTCATGAAAAAGGGTTAGATTTTTCATGCTTTTTCACGCGTGGTTGTGTTTTTAACGATCACTAACTGGTTACATGGCGTTCAATATTGCATTCATTTTCATGCGTGAAGTTTTTAACGATGCTTCTTGCGTTTTTTCATTTTTAACGAGCTTTATTGTGTTAACTATCGTGGAAAGCTAGGTTCGTTTACACGCGTGAAGATATTCCCAGATGGAAAAGTATGGGTTGGTTCCGACAGAAAAATACCGGAAATCACCGGAACATGGAAGCAGTATTCCTGGCGGAAATTTTCCGGTGAATTTCGACCAATTTCCTGTGTTTTCCGGCAGGAACCGACTGGAAAATCATCGGAAAAAATTCCAAAAATTTTCGACCAGAATACTGCTTCCAGTTCCTGCTATTTTCCATGTTTTCCTGCAGGATACGATGATTTTTCCTGCATTTTCCTGTCGGTTCCTGCAATATCCGGTGGCCGGAACGATCGACCTGGGTTTAACGATGTTTTCTGCGTGCTTTTATTTCTAACGAGCTTCATCGTGTTAACTATCGTTAAATATTGCATTCGTTTTCACACAGAGCTTTTTTTATTTTTCCTACTTGAATAATATACTGCATTTGCAAGTGCTTAGAATTTGTATATATTCCTGTACTGTTCACTCTTTAAATTTATTCCGATTTGAATCGTGTGACAGAATAGACCCGTATAAAAGTAAAAACAGTTAACTGCTTTTTGTGATAATCTTTAGGTAAGAAAAAATTAACTATAAGAGTACAGAAAATAGGACGAAAAACATTTAGTAACAGCATAAGCATAGCTGTACAGTTGAGTGAACGTAAAATTATTTCTAAAAGCTCAACAGCTTTTTATGTAGCTTGACTTGAAAATTTTCGTGGTTCTTTATTATTGAGTTGAGCTAAATTCCCTATTTTGCTCATCGAATTCACATCTAATATGAGAAACGTGACTTGTTCATCTTCAATAAATACTTAAGCTGATGTATACGTTACTGCTCAGAATCTTTTATACATTGTTATTGATCGCAAGTATGATGAGCTTTCTCCAATGGTCGATATCTTCCTAAGTTTTATTTGTCGAGAAATAAAATTTAGGAAGATATTGATCCTTGAGGAAAGTTCATCACACTTGCGATCAATAATAATGTATAAAAAAGTTCTGAATAGTAACGTATGTATCAGCTCAAGTATTTATCGAAGAAAAACGCGTTAAGCGATTTATTTTTTAACGCAGAAACACGTGTTAAACGGTCTTTCTTTTAACGAGGAAAAACTCGCTAAATTTGCACGTCTTTAACGCGTTTTTATGGTCAAAAAGGTAACATTAAATTTTGTTAAATCGTTAAATTTTAACGAATTTTCACGTCACAAAGCTTCGTTAAGTTCATAAAAATTTTTACATGGGATGTGTATCTCGGGATGGTCTATGAATTGTTATGGTTGCCCCTGTGATAGCTGATGAACAGTTTTGGGTACCCGCCTAGTATAACCAACGATGAGTTAGGTCTACTGAGTAATATACTTATAAATACTAGGACGTATTGTTTGAATACTGCCTACTTAAATACATTATAAAAACTAATATATAGAGAACTCAAATCCAATATCGAAACCCAAACTTCCAAACGTTTTGGAGTTTGAATTGGTTTTTGGTGCAAGCCTAGGTGTGGCTTATCCTTTCAGTTGATGGTTAGCGGAGCTTGTTCTGCGTTACTTGTCTTTTTCTCATATATAGGCACAAACAGCAGAACCACTAAAGAAAGCGAAAGCGGTCGAGCTATATAGTGAGAAAGACACAAGCAATGAAGATTGGACAAAAATAAACAACTCGAAAAGTGTCGATTCGGCACATGTTCAGTCACAATTGTCAGCACGTTTTCATGCATGCTATAATTTATCTGCGGCGGACAATATTAACGTGATTATGAACAATTTGCAGCAGACTCACAAAGATCTTGACGAGCGTGTAAAACATCGATTAGAAAAGGTATCTTTAGAAGCAGAACGAAAAATAGCGCTCGTTCTCGAGGATACTAAAAAAGAGCAAAAACGTCTATTGGAATATGACAAACAACAGCAGCTTCGTCAAGATGAACTATATCAAGAATGGTTGCAAAAGCATATTGTTCAGTTGAATGCTTGGAGATCTGCAGAATTAGCCAAGTTACAGAAAGAACTAGTGAAATACCAACAACAAATAGTTACAGTATCCAAGGATAAAATCGAACGTATCAATGAAATAACAAACAATTATAAGACACAGATTTTGGATGAAGAAAAACAGGTGACCGTGGACAAAACCAACAAGCTCACCACTGCAATTTACGACATAACAAGGGAAGATGTGCATTTTCTCGGCAGTGAATCAAAAACCGAGTTAAACTTGAGAATCCAAGCGAATGTAGGTCGAATCGCACCCGGCCAGAGCTGCACACATATTCCTGGTAATTGAAACAAAATGACCCTGATTTGTCGTACCCCATTGGGACATTTGTTACAAACAACAAATCTTTTGAAATAAAAACCTTAAACCCGACACAAACAACAGCGGCTGATAAGACCNGTTATAGGGAAAACAACTTTCTTAGGGTAAATCAAGGGGAAGAGAGTTCAAATTTGAGCTGTATTCAGTTCCAAGTCCTATTGGTTTGGCAATACCCAATAGAAATCAACAGTTTAGAGGGTAGATTCCCCAGTATAATTTTGATGTTTACACATTCTAGGATGGCTAATTCGTCTGATTCACTTTTTGAAGTACACATAACTCTCGGATTTAAATCCGAAGTTTCCGCATTTATTTTAAATGTTATCATTCGCAAAGCAAAGCTTCTTGAAGTTGACGTTAGTTCATTTACATTCAGTAATCTTTCTCTAGAATAGTATGTTACATTCTACAAAATGTAAAATCTTTCAAGAACTCCGCGCATAGTGAGCTGTGATTTTTGCATAAAGTGAAGCGATTGCTATTGACCAAGTAACAAACTCCGTTTAAGAAAGTCGTAAGTCAGAAAAAAGAAATTAAATATTTAAAATCGATTTTAGAGTGAAAGTAAGCAGTAAAAAACAAGAGCAACATCAGATCATCTTAGCTGTATATTCGAGAACATCTACACTATTAAACATAGGTGAGACAAGAAAAAACTCAGTCTGGTAAGAAACCACTCTAGTACGATACTTTCCGTGGATATACTTACGAGGGAACATTCCAAAGTGATACGCACCGTTCGAGTTCATATTTTGTTGGTAATGAGGACTGTTGCTATACAACACAGAGCTAAAAGGGTTCGTGCCATTGCTGCTTAGTTTCAAAATTATAAGCACTACAAAATGCGTGATAGGTGGCGCTACTATCTCTGTATTTGTTTCACTTCAGATCTTTTCCCATTGCAAATAATATATGTTCTTTTTCACTTTTATATTTTAATAAGAGCTTATCTCTTTGGTGACCATTCATCCTCAACATATCGTATAAATATGACTTGCCTTTGACGAAAGCACTCAAAGTTCTTCTACTTAACTTCTTACTCATGTATAATACAATGCGTACTCTTCTAACGATAAGCAGACAAAATTTTCTTTTTGATTTATAAAGTACAGCTATTTTTGATTCAAATATCAATCTTTATAACGTTAATTTAATTTATCCATTCAATCAGAGAAAGAAACCTATTAATAGAAATATCTATAAGCAGGAGAACTACCCGACATCATCGTTGTTTTAACGAAATATATAAAAGTTAATCAATATGATTAACCCACATAACGTATCGAAAGTGTTATCGGATTTGATTTCCAATAAATTTGGATTGAATATTTCGTCACCAATAACACTTGAAGAACACAATATCGCTGATAATTTGTACAAATGCTTGATTTTAGTTCTTGAAAGCAACTCATATTTCTTTGAAAGCGAAACTACACTCGACCATGATGAAGATTTTCGTGATCTGAATTTCGAAGATTCAGACTCACTAACGACAACATATGAACAACTGAATGACTCAACTGATATTGATTTTCAAGCTATTGAAGAGCATGATTTGGAAAAAATTTTCTTTGGATTATATGAAACGGGTTGTGGCTTGTTTTGACGAAAAAGATCCATCCACGGGACGACGTAAAAGAAATTGGTGCACAATAAAACACATGTTTCGAAGAGTTCCAAATCCTCTATGTATTTCACGTTTTCGAAAATATGTCGATAACGGTGGCACGCAACGACAAAAACTTGATGATGTTGATATTTTTGTTTACGATATGTTCGAAAATGCAAGACAGCAATTTCTATGTGTGTATGATATTGATTTGAGGAGATGGGCTCTGAAGAAAGCTCGTGAATTGAATTTGGAAGCTTTTGAAGCTTCTAGTAAATGGTTGTTAAATTTTAAACATTTACATAGAATTTCAAGTAGGCGAATAACACAATTAGTTACAAGAAAACACATTGAAAGTCAAGAAGAAATCGATGAATCAGCTAAAAGATTTGTTTTTGAAACCAACAAGTTAATTGAAAATACAATCCAGAAGGAGTACTCAATAGTGATCAAGTTGAATTAATTTGGAAGTAGTTGGTCATCGAACGTTAACTCATGTAGGAGAACAATCTACTTGGGGTTCAGTTCGATCAGTCGGCAATACTAGTCATTCTGATACTATTCAAAGTACTATATCATTAAGCGGAACTATATTTGGTCCATTATATGTTTGCTTAAAAGAACCATCCGGACATTTAAGCGATAGAATAAAAAGTAATTTATTTAATGCAAAAAATATTGTGCTTACATGTTCAAAAAGTGGCAAATTGACATCTTCTCTGGTAACTTATTGGCGAGACCACTGTTTATTACCAAATATTTCTTCGAAAATATTGTTACTGATTGACAGTTTTTCAACTCATGCAAATCCAGAAATATATAAAAATTTAAAAGATTTTGAGTATCGAGTAATTCCACCAAAAACAACTTCAATAATTCAACCACTGGATATTTACTTCAATAGGCAATATAAAATGATTGCACGACGAATTCATGATCACGTAAGACTCGATAATATTAACATAAATAGGGCAGAGCGTAATAATATAATAAAACTACAGTCATTAACACATTCACAAATGAATTCAAACACATTTCAACCGATGATAAAATATGCATGGTACAGAAGCGGATATTTGAAGGAAGATCCTAGTCCATTTCAAAATGTTCAACAGATTTGTTTTACTGTTGAAGCAGATAAATGTCATATGAAAGATTGTATAGAAGGTCCAATGATTCGATGCTCATGGTGTTTCCAAGAGCTTTGTTTTACTCATTTCTTTTTAACTTATCATTACCACTATCACTAGATAAATTTATCATTTTTTCGAAAATTCATTTCATTTTGTTACTTTTACTAGTTTTCTTTTTTTTCAAATAAAGAACACAATATTCATTTAACTTGAATTTTTTTTCATTCTCTCAACAAAAGCGTATGCAGAAAAGCACTGTTGGAAAATCTTATCCATAAAACAAATAGAAAGCTCAAAAAACTAAAAGAGAAGCAGCGCTTAGTCTTGGAGCTAAATTCATACCGGATGTTAAGGATGAATGGTCACCAAAGAGATAAGCTCTTATTAAAATGTAAAAGTGAAAAAGAACATATATTATTTGCAATGGGGAAAAGATCTGAAGTGAAACAAATACAGAGATAGTAGCGCCACCTATCACGCATTTTGTAGTGCTTATAATTTTGAAATTAAGCAGCAATGGCACGAACCCTTTTAGCTCTGTGTTGTATAGCAACAGTCCTCATTACCAACAAAATATGAACTCGAACGGTGTGTATCACTTGGGAATGTTCCCTCGATATACTACAAAAATTTTTCCACTTGAAAAATCTTTATTATTGCTACGCGAAGCTTCATATATTATAAAAGCTTTAAAAGCTTTTTTGACTTTTTACAAGGGCTTACAAGATACGATATAGTGAAATGAGACCTCATAAGTTCCGTGAGATACTCTAGCTTCAGTGTGATCTGTCGGTAGCAGTTCCTTATGTCGATTATATGTAAGAAAAAATACATTCTTAAAGAAATACTAGAAATAGGGCAAACACACAGACATTCATTTTTTGAAGTCTCCGGCTTAGTCACAAAGAATATCTTGCATTAATAACGGAGAATTTTTCCACATTGCATATACTAACTTGCCGTCATAAAATGCCACACAAGAAATTGTGCAGACTTAAGTTTTCTCTGAAATGTTTTTCGAATCATCTGGTAAACTTCGAAGAGCTAATTAGTTTCGTTTCATGAGATTCCCTCCCCACTACTTGACACTTCCTAGCAAAGAATCGATACACTCACGATTATATCCAGTAACGCTGTCGCCAGTTGAGTTTCCACCATCGCCCATACTTGTTTTCAGCGAACATTCATGACTTGATGGCGAATACGTGAAAACAATACATTCAGAAGTTGCTTGACATTGTGAGCAACAGCTAGCATAATCAGGTTGTTGCACAGGAGAAGGTAATATATCATTTTCTGGTATGTTCCAGGTGTCTTTACGTACAAAACCACCACACATGTTCTCTACGAAAACATACATAAAAGAACAATCTTAGTGGCACTGATTATGCAGATGAAAGAATGCTTAAAAAAATGGTCACATTCACCATGGTTTTAGCATTTACTGCTTTTTTGCTCGAATGTGAGTCTTAATCTTTCTTAATTTGTAATCATTGAGTTTCTCGTAAATCATGAATACTGGTAAGTCTTCCTTAGTGACAAGAAAGCAAGGACTTGAAGTCATTGTGTATAATTCTTGCGATGTATTTTAGAAACTTGAAGGATTGTTGCATCCTTTTATTCAATGGTTATACTCCAGAAAGATGATTCTACTTGATGTGAGTGGTTCAAACTCAATCAGAATATTTCCATTTTTCACTGTTTTTTTTTGCTGCATATTTCTTGACCGTTTAAATCGGTTCCGCAATCACAAAGGATAATATTTCATCTTTCATATCACTAAAAGTGTGTTGCAAAAAAGATCAAGAAGAGCCTAACTTGCTCTCTTGGAAGGCACTTTTGACGGGGGAAAAAGATAAGACAGCTGAAGAAAATACAAAGTGATCCTTCGTTTGTCTATTTGTTCATGAAAGTTCTTTACCTAAATTATATCTAAGAACGAATAATTTCTTGTACTAACAAAGGCAAATTTTTCCACGTTGTATGTGCTAACTTTCTGTCATGAAACGGATCATAATAAAGTTGTGTAGAATTGAGCTTCCTCTCGATTTTTCCCGAGTCATCAAGTAAACTTTGAAGAGCTAGTCTCTCGTTTATTGAGATTCTCTGTCGAATACACGGTACTTTCAACCAGAGAGCTGAAATACTCACGGTTATATGCAGAAACAGTATCGCTAGTTGAATTTTGACCATTATCAATACTTGTTTTCAGTGAACATTCATGACTTGATGGAGAATATGTAAAAGCAAAACATCCAAAAGTTACTTGACATTGTGAGCAACAGCTAGCATAATCAGGTTGTTTTACAGGAGAATGCAATATGTCATTTCCAGGAATGTCCCAGGCGTCTTTACGTATGAAACCACCGCACATGTTTGCTGTGAGAAGATGAATAAAAGAATGATTTTGATTGCCTTCATTATGCAGATGAAAGATTGGAAGAAGTAGCTGCATTCACCCTGTTTTCCCAAACACACGATTTTACTCCTTTCGATTATATCGTCACTAAACTGTTCTAAGAGCCAGTCCATATAAGCCACAACCGACTTCATAAAGACCCTGCTCAATCGGTATCATCACAACTTACTCAATTTGAGATATGTTATAGGGGGAAGAGTTTTATGATTTTTGACGCAAGCCGATTCAAAAAATATTGAACCCTTAATTTTTTATGAGCACTTTATGAAAAGGCCTAAAAAATGACCATATATATAACTGCGGGCGCTAATTCAACGATATTTCATGAATGGCTCAACAAAATGAGCTGAAAGTTTTTATTGCCATACATATTAGTGAATTCTATTTACCCTAAAATTTTCGCTTTAAAATATTGAGCGACTGGGATTTTATGAAGCACTCAATATATGAAAAAAGGTCCATTTATGGTAACTTTGGCGCTTCAAAACTTTTGATAGGAATGACATCTGACTCTCAAATTTTTACTGTTAATTGGACATTGAGAGATGTATCTCTTCTGAAAATTTCAGCTATCTATACCGTTCTATTTGCTCATTGCAGCCCCGTGAAAAACAGAATTTTGATAAATGCGGGGACTTTCAGGATAGGCATTCTCCCAAGAAATGGATTGTCTGGGGCGTTGATTATTAGAACTTTGAAGTACTTTCTTTGGGCTCCAACTATGTAAAACAATTGGCGTGGGATCTCGGAGATTGGCTCCAGGGCACTCATTGCAAAATACGAAAAAAATGAGCCTTTTTCTATGGGAAATCTACCTAAGCGCACTTAGAAATTTCTCCAAGGATTCTACAATGTGACATAAATTTTATCTGCTAAAAATCAACATGAAATGCTTTATTCGTCTTTGTCAAAATTTCCTTTTAAAATGAAAAAAATAGTTTTACTAAAAGTCCTCCTGGCGGTTACAGGGGCTGTGAAAATAAAATGTTACAGGAAGAGGCCTGGAGGGAGGTTGGGGGAATTTTCGCAAAAACATTTTTCTACGAGAAACGGTATTTGGATACAGGGTATAGAGAATTTAATGCTGATTTTTACTACATTAGATTTATATCACATACTTAATTTCTTGGAGGAAATTTCTAAGTGCACTTAGGTAGATTTCCAATAGAAAAGCTCAATTTTTCGTGTTTTGCAATGAGTACTCTGGGGCCATTCTTGGAGATCTCACGCCAATTTTTTTACATAGCTGTAGTCCAAAGAAAGTACTTCAAAGTTCTAATAACCAACGCCCCAGGCAATTCATTTCTTGGGAGAAAGCCTACCCTGAAAGTCACCATATTTATCAAAATTTCTTTTCCACGGAGCTGCTCTGAGCAAATAGAACGGTATAGATAGCTCAAATTTTCAGGAGAGATACATCTCTCAGTGTCCAATTAACAGTAAAAATTTAAGAGTCAGATATCATTCCTATCAAAAGTTTTGAAGCTTCAAACTTACCATAAATGGACCTTTTTTCATATATTGAATGCTTCATAAAATCCCAGTCGCTCAATATTTTAAAGCGAAAATTTTATGGTAAATAGAATTCACTAATATGTATGGCAATAAAAACTTTCAGCTCATTTTGTTGAGCCATTCATGAAATATCGTTGAATTAGCGCCCGCAGTTATATATATGGTCATTTTTTAGGCCTTTTCATAAAGTGCTCATAAAAAATTAAGGGTTCAATATTTTTTGAATCGGCTTGCGTCAAAAATCATAAAACTCTTCCCCCTATAACATATCTCAAATTGAGTAAGTTGTGATGATACCGATTGAGCAGGGTCTTTATGAAGTCGGTTGTGGCTTATATGGACTGGCTCCTAAATCGTGTACACTAGTAAGTCTACCTGACTGACGAGAAAGCAAGA